GCGCTGGTGCACAACCCGCTGAACATTTTTCACATCGAGGTGGCCATTGAGGACGTGAATGACAACGCTCCAACCTTCAGCAAAGCTGTTCTGGACCTCGAGATTGGTGAATTAATCCCTCCTGGTGCTCGTTTTCCTTTGGAAATGGCACGAGATGTAGACGCAGGAAGTAACTCGCTGCTGACTTACCAACTCACGAGCGACCCGTCTTTCTCACTGTCAGTGAAAGAAAAGCCGGGTGGAAAGAAGCAGCCGGAATTAGTGCTGGAGAGACCACTGGACCGAGAGAAGCAGAGTTCTTTTGATCTGGTGCTTACGGCAGTGGATAGTGGGGAACCCGCGATGTCTGGGACAGTCCTGATTCACATCAATGTGACAGATGCAAATGACAACCCACCCGTGTTCAGCAAAAGTGTCTATGAAGCGAGAGTGGCGGAGAATCTGCCGGCGGGGTCTCTGGTGCTGCGGGTGGTGGCCACGGATGCAGATGTGGGCTCAAATGGACGAGTCTCCTATTCCTTCGGCAACGTCCCAGACGACGTGCTCTCATTGTTCGCTATCGACAGCGAGAGTGGAGAGATCAGGACGGTGGGTCCACTCGATTTTGAGGAGGAAAATAAATACATTTTTGGCTTGGAGGCGACAGACGGAGGTGGGCTCACTGATCACTGCGAAGTGCAGATTGACATCACAGACGAGAATGACAACGCGCCTGAGATCACGATTCTGTCACTGTCGAGCCCCGTGCCAGAGGACGCACCAGTGGGCACCGTGGTGGCCCTGCTGAATGTAAACGATCCGGACTCGGGTGAGAACGGTCAGGTGTCGTGCGAGCTGTCGGGAGAGGCGCCGCTGTCGATCGTGGCGTCGTCGGGCGGCTCGTACAAGGTGGTGACGACGCAACAACTTTTAAAGCGATTCCTCTTTCTTCTAACAGATTCCTGATGCTAAAGGTCTGACCTTAAAATGAGCAGTGCATAGGGCAAGAGTGGGTACTGCAGTGAGCTTCTGGCTGGCGGGCGGCAGCGCGGGCGCGGCGGGCGCGGCGCCGCTCGTGTCGGTGGAGGCGCGGAGCGGCGCGCTGTACGCGCAGCGCTCCCTGGACTACGAGCAGTGCCGCGAGTTCACGGTGGCCGTGCGGGCGCAGGACGGCGGCTCGCCGGCGCGCAGCTCCACGGCCACGGTGCGCGTCTTCGTGCTGGACCGCAACGACAACGCGCCCAGGGTGCTGTGGCCGGCGGCGGCGGCGGCGGCGGGAGAGGCGGCGGGAGGGGCGGCGACGCCTTTCGAGGTGGTGCCGCGTTCGGCCGAGGCCGGCTACCTGGTGGCCAAGGTGGTGGCGGTGGACGCGGACGCGGGGCGCAACGCGTGGCTGTCGTACGAGCTGGTGCAGGCGTCGGAGCCGGCGCTGTTCCGCGTGGGGCTGCACAGCGGCGAGGTGCGCACGGCGCGCGCCGTGTCCGAGCGGGACGCGGCCAAGCAGCGTGTGGTGGCCGTGGTGAAGGACCACGGGCAGCCGGCGCTGTCGGCCACGGCCACGCTGCACGTGGTGCTGGCCGAGAGCTTGCAGGAGGCGCTGCCGGAGCTGAGCGAGCGGCCGGCGGGCGCCGAGGAGGAGGCGGCGGCGGCGGCCGAGCTGCAGTTCTACCTGGTGCTGGCGCTGGCGCTGCTGTCGGCGCTCTTGGTGCTGAGCGTGGCGCTGGCCGTGCTGGCGCGGCTGCGCCGGGCCGGGCCGCCCGCCGTGCTGCGCTGCCTGGGCGCGCAGCGCTTCTCGCTGGCCGGCGCCGCCTTCCCGGCCGACTTCTGCGAGGGCACCTTGCCCTACTCCTACAACCTGTGCGTGGCGGCGCCGGCCCGCGCCGTGCCCGAGGCCGCTTGGCCGCCGCCGCCGGTGCCCGTCCTGTCGGCGGAGGAGCTGCTGGGCGGCGATTCCTGCGAGAAGCCGAGCCTGAGTAGTAGCGCCCTGACGGGAGAGCCGCCCGCCGAGCCGGACGCCGCTCAGGTCTGTAAAGCGAATTCCTTCCTTCTGCACCTTTAAATAACGGCGTGCTGGTGGCAGGGATCTCTTGTGGTTTTTTTCTTCCTTTAGTCTGTTAGTATTTCCATGACCCCGTAAAATAACTCCTTCACGTTTTTCTTTTTGCATCATGTCTTGCGATCCGGCAATTGCTGCCTCATCTGCTGTTGGAATGGCAAGCTCAGTTGGAGGTTCTTACCGTTCAGCAGTTTTGAACCTCATTTTAATTCGTGACTCATTGTGATTTAGCTGTAAGGTTTTCTTTAGGAAAATTTTGTTTTCTTAATTTTTGCACGTTATTAACGAAGGAGGCGGATTTTTATTGTGTAGAATGCGATGTACGTTACGGGCTTGGTGTCGAGAGTTTTCCTTCCCGACAGCTTTTTGTCGAAGCATGTGTGTTTGGACTGTCTCATGGGTGGATCACACCCCTTCTTTTGAGGGAAGGGTACTGTAGGAATGCTTACACTATTGAGTCAGGTTGATTTAGGATTTTAAAAGGCTCTCTGTGTGTGGCGCCACCTCTGTATTCATTACCTGCTAAGTACCCGAACTCTCTGCCTCACCTTAGTGCCATCATCACCAATATGATGGCAATATTTGACTTAATACCTAAGTACTAAGTCCTCTTAGTGAGCGTTGTCATGCCTATACTGAGTAAAGTCGGATCGCGCGTGCGCTACCGGCTGGCGGAGGGGCGGGTGCGGGGCGCGCCGCTGTCGTCGTACGTGTCGGTGCAGGCGGAGACGGGCGCGCTGTACGCGCTGCGCTCCTTGGACTACGAGCAGGTGCGCGAGCTGCAGCTGTGGGTGCGGGCGGAGGACGGCGGCGCGCCGGCGCTGAGCAGCAACGTGTCGGTGCGGCTGCTGATCGTGGACGAGAACGACAACGCGCCGCAGGTGCTGT